ATGAAGTCTGTTTCTGATTGTTTGGTCAGAGACATTCACACCAGTGGTCTGCTGGAGGTCATTTTGTAGTGCTCTAGCATTGCTCATCCTGTTCCTCCTTGCACAAAGGAGCAGATGCCGGTTAAGGACCTTCTACACTCCGTCCAGCTCTTGTAGAGTAACTGCCTGTCTCCTGGAATCTCCTCCATGCTCTTGAAACTGTGCTGGGAGACACAGCAAACCTTCTGGCAATGGCACATATTGATGTGCCATCCTGGAGGAGTTGGACTGTCTGTGCAACCTCTGTAGGGTCCAACTGATGCTACCAGTATAGACTCTAGCCGAATGCAAAACTAGTGAAAAACAGTCAGAAAAGATGAGTAGGGAAAATATTGTCAGTGGCCTCCACCTGTAAAATCATTAATATTTTGGGGGCCATCTCATTGTTGCCCATATAGTGAACCTGTTGTTAATTTTATTAACGCCAAAGCCGCTGAAACTCATTGACAACCCTCTCTGCTACTTGTTATTTGCACAGTGGTTTTCAAACTATTTTTTTTATAAAAATACACTTTAGTGAACACAAACACAATACCAATTTGTTTTGGTAAAATATACCCATTGTCCCGCTGACCTACTGACCCATTGTCAGGCCCTACACTGGTGCAGTGTGTCCTGGGTTCCTCCTGGTGCTTGACAATGCCCGGCCTCATGTGGCAAGAGTATGCAAGCAGTTCCTGCAGGATGAAGGAATCGAAACCATTGAATGGCCTCCAAGCTCGCCTGACCTAAATCCAATAGAACACCTCTGAGATATCATGTTTCGGTCCTCTCATGTCAGGCATGCATACAAGCACGTGGCGGCCATACAAACTACTAAGTACCATTTTGAGTTGCTGCAATGACATTTCAGCAAAATGGACTAGCCTGCTGCATAATTTTTTTCACTTGGATTTTCAGGGTGTCTTTGAATTCAGTCCTCTGTAGGTTGATAATTTTCATTTCCATCAAACGATGGGGCATCCTTACAATCCTAACACATTATCCATCCATATCAGTATAGATATCCAACATGATATTTTTCACCATTGAGATCTGGTTTTCAAAGTGTTCTTTAAATTTTTTGGAGCAGTGTATAACGTTTGGGAGTTCTAAGTAATTTTCTAGCAAAAAAAAAAAAAAATTCAGATTTTTACATGTATGTAAGAAGTGTCAGAATTTGCCCTGTACTAAGGTAATTAAAATAGCAACTGATTTGCAGGGAATATTGAGAATCCCCAATAATATAATGGCTATGTCAGATTTTAATTTTCACAGCACAGTTTCACTCTGCATGCAATCTGCTTTAAAACCCCTCAGTGACAAATGTTGCATTAACTGCTCAGTGTCCTATCCCCAGCATATGGAATAACCCCTCAGTTCCTTAGTCCATGTGTGATATTTCCCTAGTGCTCACTCCCCTGGTATGAGTAAGAATGAGCTCATGTAGGTTACACATTCAGCGTATGTGGTTTAACTCTCCACACCTATTTTTGTACTTGTGTGCATTCATCCCTCAGCTGTCAGTACCCAGTGCATGTATAATTACCCTTAAGTGCCCAAGACAGGCAAATTAACCCCTCAGCACACAGTCTACAGCATAATCACATTTATGCAGTGCACTACTCCAAATATCAATCTAATCTCCACTGACTCTGGTCCAGTAGTAATCTCTTCTTCACTGTCCCATTTTCTACTTCAACATTCCCTGGAAACAAAGCCCTGCCCCCTCTTAGATTGTAAGTTCCAAGGAGCAATGCCCTCCTAACCCTCTTGTATTGAACTTTACCGTTGTTGTATTGTCTCCCTTCATATTGTAAAGCGCTGAACAAACTGTTGGCGCTATATAAATCCTGTATTATAATAATAATCTCCCACGTCCAGCTCTGCCTTCCACTGTACATGGACTCTATGACACTGTCCCTGCTAATAGTTAGTCAAGATCAGGGCTTGAAAAAGTCGCTTGCCCGCTCACCAAATGCGAGGAGAAATTCCTCTGTGGCGAGCACAGATGAAGCATGAAGCGACTGCACCTGCGCTCCAAGGCTCATTGTGAAGCCAAGTTTCAGTTTACAACTTCTGGTTTCCGGCTTCTTAGGCTCCGCTGAGAGGAGACACCCTCTCCAACACCGTGGGGGACTCGGAGGGACTAGGAGTAAGTACTGTAGTGTATTACTGTAGTGTATACAACATGTCATATCACTATAATGGAGTACAGGGAAGCTGGGATATACATTACTCAGTAATGTATATCCCAGCTCCCCTGTACTCCATTATAGTGATATGACATGTATACAGTAATGTATATCCCAGCTCCCCTGTACTCCATTATAGTTATGACATGTATACAGTAATGATTACTGTATACATGTCATATCACTATAATGGAGTACAGGGGAGCTGGGAAATACATTACTGTATACATGTCATATCACTATAATGGAGTACAGGGGAGCTGGGGATATACATTACTGTATACATGTCATATCACTATAATGGAGTACAGGGGAGCTGGGATATACATTACTGTATACATGTCATATCACTATAATGGAGTACAGGGGAGCTGGGATATACATTACTGTATACATGTCATATCACTATAATGGAGTACAGGGGAGCTGGATACACATTACTGTATACATGTCATATCACTATAATGGAGTACAGGGGAGCTGGGATATACAGTACATTACTGTATACATGTCATATCACTATAATGGAGTACAGGGGAGCTGGGATATACATTACTGTATACATGTCATATCACTATAATGGAGTACAGGGGAGGGGGGATATACATTACTGTATACATGTCATATCACTATAATGGAGTACAGGGGAGCTGGGATATATATTACTGTATACATGTCATATCACTATAATGGAGTACAGGGGAGCTGGGATATACATTACTGTATACATGTCATATCACTATAATGGAGTACAGGGGAGCTGGGATATACAGTACATTACTGTATACATGTCATATCACTATAATGGAGTACAGGGGAGCTGGGATATACATACTGTATACATGTCATATCACTATAATGGAGTACAGGGGAGCTGGGATATACATTACTGTATACATGTCATATCACTATAATGGAGTACAGGGGAGCTGGGAAATACATTACTGTATACATGTCATATCACTATAATGGAGTACAGGGGAGCTGGGATATACATTACTGTATACATGTCATATCACTATAATGGAGTACAGGGGAGCTGGGATATACATTACTGTATACATGCCATATCACTATAATGGAGTACAGGGGAGCTGGGATATACATTACTGTATACATGTCATATCACTATAATAGAGTACAGGGGAGCTGGGATATACATCACTGTATACATGTTATATCACTATAATGGAGTACAGGGGAGCTGGGAAATACATTACTGTATACATGTCATATCACTATAATGGAGTACAGGGGAGCTGGGATATACATTACTGTATACATGTCATATCACTATAATGGAGTACAGGGGAGCTGGGATACACATTACTGTATACATGTAATATCACTATAATGGAGTACAGGGGAGCTGGGATATACAGTACATTACTGTATACATGTCATATCACTATAATGGAGTACAGGGGAGCTGGGATATACATACTGTATACATGTCATATCACTATAATGGAGTACAGGGGAGCTGGGATATACATTACTGTATACATGTCATATCACTATAATGGAGTACAGGGGAGGGGGGATATACATTACTGTATACATGTCATATCACTATAATGGAGTACAGGGGAGCTGGGATATACATTATATACATGTCATATCACTATAATGGAGTACAGGGGAGCTGGGATATACATTACTGTGTACAGTTTTATATTTTGGACTCTTTATTCTAAAGAAAAACGTAATTTTATAAGCTTTAAGGGGGCATGGTTAGGGGTGGGCCAGGGGTGGGGTTTGGGGTGGGCCGGGTTTTTGTTGGCGGACCTGGGCAACTGACCGGCTAGTAGGTCTGGACTCGAAATTTTTAACCCCTGATCTAGATTATCCATATATATAATTAGTCAGTTTTAGGAATAGGTGCTCAAATGCATTATGGGGAGTGATTCCCAACCCTATAATTTATTGGTATGGCTATATATGCATATTTTAATTATTTGTTGATATTTATGGGGCAGTCAGTAACCACTATTTGTGAATCCAAAGATGAGCTGTTCTGCTGGCTGTCATACCTTCCCACTCCTCTTCTGCACATATTTCTTTCTTTGTACCAGACATACTTCTCTTCTGTACATACAAGCCACAGTCATACCCTTTGCCCCCACTCCCTTCATTCTCACACTGTCTACGGTTGTACTCTTCACACTCTTCCACAGCACATTCTGTCCCGGTCATACCCTCCACACTCCCATTCTGCATATATCTGCACGTCATGCCCTCTGCACTCCTCTCCTGCACAGTCTGCTGTCATACTACAACCCTATTTCTAAAAATAGGTTGAGACATTGTGTAAAATCTACGTAAAAAACGTAAGGGAATGTTTTGCAAATCTCATGAACCCATATTTTATTCACAATGGAAAATAGAAAACATACCAAATGTTTAAACTGAGAAAATGTACAGTTTAGGAAAAAAAAAAAGGTCATTTTGAAACTGATAGCAGCTACACATCTCAAAAAAGCAACTAATTAGGTTAATTGGCAACAATTCAGTAATATGACTGAGTATAAAAAGGGCATTTTTTGCTTAGTTTTTGTTATAAAAGTTTGCAAATAGATAATTTTTCTTGATAAATTTAGGCCAAAATGTATTCTGCTGATTTTTTAGGGTAAAAATAACCCAAAACAGTTTATATTATTTAGTTTGTGTGAAAGCTATAGAGTCTACAAACTATGAGATATAAATTTGAAAATTGATCAGTTGAGATCCTAAAATGAGGTATGGAAGTGATCAGGACGCTACTATGACAATAGCCAGGACACTTTTATGGGGTATGGTTGTGATTAGGATGCTGGTATGGGGTATGGCTGTGATCAGGATGCTGGTATAGGGTATGGCGGTGATCAAAACGCTGGTATGGGGTATGGTGTGGTGATCAGGGTGATGGTATGGGGTATGGCGGTGATCAAAATGCTGGTATGGGGTATGGTGGTGATCAGAACTCTGGTATGGCATATGGGGTCATTAGGATGCTGGTATGGAGCATAGAGGTGATCGAGATGCTGGTACGGGGTATGGCGGTGATCAGGATGCTGGTATGGGGTATGGCGGTGATCAGGATGCTGGTATGGGGTATGGTGGTGATCAGGATGCTGGTATGGGGTATGGCTGTGATCAAGGCACTAGTATGGTGTATGGCGGTGATCAGGGCACTGGTATGGTTTATGGCGGTGATCAGGGCTCTGGTATGGTGTATGGAGGTGATCAGAGCATTGGTATGGCATATGGCAGTGATCAGGGTGTTGGTTTGGGGTATATGGTGGTGATCAGGACACTGGTATGGCGGTGACCAGAACATTAATATGGTGTATGGGGTGTTTTGTGTGCGCTGGGAAATGTGACAGTGCCTACCTGCATTATTTATTATTGTTATTGTGGGACAGTGATCAAGGACACAGGGGAACTAAACTGGGGCACTGGGGTGGCTGGCACTGTAGTGTATGAGTGTACAGCAGCCTAACAGGCTGCTGTACACTCACACACTGCAGGATTGCTTCTCTCTGCTCTCACACTGAGAGCAGAGAGAACCGATCTTTGCTTTCAGCTTCTAGTGTTTGCTATGTGAGTACTGTGATTGGTACTGTGATTGGTCATAGCAGTCACATGGTAAAACACCACGTGATTGCCCAAACACAGCGGTAATGTGATCACCGAGCTCCTGGGTGCATGCTGTGTGAGCCGTGCAGGAGCAATTGATGGGGGCTGACGTACAGGAACATTAGCCCACATCAGCGCTGCTTCCTGTCCGCTGTCTGTGTAGAATGGGTGGACGGGAAGAGGTTAAAAAACATTTGATATGTTTTCTGTTTTCTATTGTGAAAAATATATGGGTTTATGAAATTGCATTCTTTTTTTATGCAGATTTTACACAGCATCCAAACTTTTTGGAAATTGGGGGTTGTATAAGCTCTTCTTTCCTGTACATACTGTCCGCTGTCATATTTTATTTATTGTTATTTATTACAGGTACTTATATAGTGCCGTCAATGTATGCAGTGCTTTACATATGCCTGGGATGAGTCAGCCTAGGACAGTGTTTCTCAACTCCAGTCCTCATGGACCCCCAACAGGTCATGTTTTCAGGATTTCCCTCAGATGAAACAGCTGTGGTAATTACTAAGGCAGTGAAACTGATCAAATCACCTGTGCAAAATAATGGAAATCCTGAAGACATGACCTGTTGGGGGTCCATGAGGACTGGAGTTGAGAAACACTGGCCTAGGATGAGCCAGCTTAGGATGAGTCAGCCAGGTTACTTGGGTCAGGGCTGAGGGCTGTGCAGGTCAGTTCCCTGATACCCCCCCCCCCCCCCTTTAGAAGCTTGAGAAGTTTCTAGAAGTCAGTGAGTGGGAGTGAGAAGGGGCTGATCTGCATGTACTGTATAAGGGATCTTGACCAATTCCCAAGCAGGAGGCTTTGCATGGGGTCAGGACAGCCCTTAATTATAACAGAGCCTGATCAGCAGGAGGAGTAGTGTCGGGTGGAAGATGGAGTGAAGACTGGAGTGTGGAGCCTGGGAAGGGGCCCAGGGATGGGACCTACCTACGAGCTGGTGCTGGACAAGGGAGGCTCCACTGTACCACTGTCTTCTAGGAAGGACAGTCTGGACAGGAGGGAAGGAGCCAGCCCAGCAAAAGGCCTGAAGGCAGCCACCTACCCATTGAGCTATCAGGAAGGACAGTGTAAGTAACCTTACACACTCTGGGCTGGATAAGGGAAGAGGGCAGCCAGTTGGAGAGCCCAGTTAGCTCCTCATGGGGGACTTTATGTTGGCAGTTTCTTGGTCCCCATGCCCAGGGATACCCTCAGGTATCAGCTGGGTGAAGAGTAGGATTTATCTGGGGTCCGAGGAGGTACCTCAGAGAGCTGGAGAGCTCTTTAAAGGAGAGACTGTTTGTCCACAGACTTGTACATAGTTGTTAAGGAGTTCATCCCCACTGTTCACAGTTTCCTTGGGCATCCCATACACCCCTTAATCCCATCCAAGTTCAAAACCCCTTAATAAAATCACAAAACCAAGCTCGAAGACTGTTTTACTGTCTCCAGTGTGCAGGTGTGGAAGAAAATGCATGTTGCCTGACTGTGCAGAGCTGAAGGGGGACCCAAAACTCAGTGATTAAGAGAGTTGTGCTACCTACATACCAGGGGCAATTTAGACAAGATCCAAATAATCTACCTTTAGAGTGTGGGAGGAAACTTGAGTACCTGGAGAAAACCCATGCAGCCACAGGGGGGAACCTGCAAACTCCAGGCAGGTGGTGTGCCATGGTTGTGATTCGACCCAACCACCCTTGTACTACCATGCAGATATTCTAACCATTTAGCCACTGGGCTGCCTATCATATCCTGCCTTCCTTTTTCCCTGTATATACTGTCTACTGTCATATCCTCAATACTTTTCTCCTGCACATACCACCTACTGTCATACACTCTGCCTCTTCCTTGCATAATGCTCACTGTCATATCCTCTGCACTCCTCTCCTGCACATCCTTTACACTATTATACCTGTACACCTCACTCCTTCACATACTGCCCACTGTTATACCCTGTGTACTTTTCTCCTGCCTGCTAGCATTCCATTCCCAATAATTTACAACTATTATTGCACCCTAATACATTTCTTTATAATTGTTTGTTAAATTCCCAACATTTCCTATTCTAGAAAAGGTACTATTGTACTAGTTTCTATTAAAAACAGTTATTGGTTGCCTGAATATTACCGTTTCATCATGCATTTGAAGAGGAAGTCTGGATTAAATACTGTATTAACCAACCTGTTTTTGCTATTTAGAAATTGTTTAGATTCCCTCAAAAAATTTATGAACAGTATTTTTTTAATTAGGGGGGGGAGGGTGGTAAAAGATAACATGCAAATCGGCTGATCTCCTAATCCACACAGGAATTTTGTAAATCATTTCTAGTTTGTCATGTTGTCATGTTGTGTCTATGCACATTCCCAGCACTGACAGCTATGCCTTGCTGTCATATTGTGGCCCCACACATCTTATGTATGACTATTAGAATTACCAGGACCCTAAAACTTTAAATGTTGGTTGAACTAAACACATCAGTTATTTGTTTAGGGAAATTAAATGTATTGTCAGTTTAGATAGAGTTGGTAATTAGGAGCATTATAGCATTATAGGTGTCTTTAGCTTGACATCACATTTCATGACTTACAAATCACAGGACTATAAGGTAACATGGGTCTCAATTTTTCTGCTACCTAGGTGAATGCTAATACTGTAAACTGGTTGTCTGTAGAAACCAATGTAAGTAATTACTTGAAGTAAAAATCCAGAATATGCAAGAAAAAAGCAAATACATGCTATTTTGTTAAAGGAAGCTGAATGATGAATAATATTAATGATAATGGCATGGCATTTTACATAGTACTTTATTCAGCTGAAATCATATCATATTAAGTGCTTGCCACCTAGTCCACAGTATATGTACTTACAGCAGGTGGCACAGCCAGGCTAGGCAATGTACCAGTACGTTGCATCCTGGCTTCTGGGTTTCGAGCATGCATGCATGCACATGCCCCCTGCTGACCTGTGCTGTGATCAGACATAGCACAGGTTTGTCAGCAGGTTTCAGCCAATAATTTTATCTTAAACCTGCTGATCGGCTCTGTCGAATCACAGCACAGAACACAGAGGAGCGATCTGGCTGTTTTTTCTCCCTAAAAGCAGCACACTTTACTCACATTAGCGCTGCACTGCTCACATTACACATTACTCACATTGCACTTGTAAGGCACACAGTTAACCCCTTGATTCCCCCTAGATGTTAACCTCTTCCCAGTCATTAGTACAGTGTATGGTGCTAGCACTGAACACTGCATTAGTGTCAGTATTGATGACAGTTAGTCAGTTAGCGTACCTCCCAGCCAGCACCAGCTAGTGCCACTATTAGTTGATGATCCAGCCATTACCAGTATAGCATGTATAGCTTCATAAATTCCAGTTTACTGTATATACCATAGTTTGTAGACACTATAACATTCACACAAACCAATTAATATACACGTATTTGGGATTTTTTTTTACCAAAGACCAAGAGCAGAGTACATTTTGGCCTAAATTTATAAAAAATTTTATTTTTTATTAAATCACTTCAATACTGGGCACTTTCAACCCCTTCCTGCTCAAACCAATTTTCAGCTTTCAGCACTTTCACACTTTGAATGACACTTGTGCGGTCATGCAACACTGTACCCAGTCATTTTTTTGGGACAGATAAGATTTCTTTAGGTGGTATTTAATCACTTCTGGGAATTGCATTTTTTGCTAAACAAACAAAAAAAGACCAAACATTTTGAAAAAAAATACTTTTCCTTTGTTTCTGTTATAAAATGTTGCAAATAAGTAATTTTTCTTCTTCACAGATGTGCACTCATGAGGCTTCACTGATGGGCACTGAAAGGCTACAGTGATAGACACTGGTGATGCTGCACTGATGGGCTCTGGTGATGCTGCACTGATGGGCACTTGTGAGGCTGCACTGATGGGCACTAATGAGGCTGCACTGATGGACAATGATGGACACTGATAAGGCAGCACTGATAGGTGGCACTAATGGACACTGATAGGCAGTACTGATGTGCACTGGTAGGTGGCATTGATGGGCACTGATTGGCACTGATAAGCTGCACGGATGGGCACTAACAAGCTGCACTGTTGGGCACTGCTGGGGCTGCACTGATAGTCAGGGCACTGATGATCAGTGCACTGGTTATCAGTGTAAACAAAGTGCTATCAGGATTGTCAGTTATTGGCGATCCTTTCCTCACACAGAGACAGCTCTGAGGAAAGGAAAAGCCGAAAACCAGCAATCTGTTTACATGTGATCAGCTGTGATTGGACACAGATCTGTCATTGGTCGTGTCCGAGGTACACGGCCGGTGACAGATCACGCCGCAGAGCGGCCCTGCGGGCAGATGCACTGTGCATGCCTGAAAGGACGCCATATGGCATCCACCTGGAGGGACAAGCTGTTCAACAACCTGTTAATAAAAAATTTTTATATTTTAGGGCTTTTTTCAAAATGTTCTGCCTTTTTCATTTATATAATTAAAATGTAAAAAACCCAGTGGTGATCAAATACCACCAAAAGTAAGCTCTATTTGTGTGAAAACAATTTGCACTGCTCAAAAAAATTAAAGGGACAATTTGAAAACCAGATCTC